TTGATCAAAGTTGGGTTTGACCAAAAACCGGTAAAACCAGTTAAAATCGGTTTTTTTTCTCAAATTTTCCATTCTATTTTTTTTTTAAATAACAACCTCCACTAAATAACAAAGTAGAATCAAGTCAATAAGAAAGCATTGTGTTTTTGTCAGAATCTCATGCAACATCCTTTATACTAAATTGAGGGAATTTTTCTTAAAAAATGTAGTATAACTTAAAATATCCAAACTTAAAAAAAGAAAAGAAAAGAAGAAACCGGACTCATTGCCATTGTGATGGCTTTTTCTTCTTCTACCCTTTTTTTCCAACTCCTTTGATCTGTGAAAAGCACCAAGAATTACTGTCTAACAAAGTTAGAAATCTAGATTAGGAGAAAATTTACATTCTCTAAATTCACTAAACCCCATTTCACGCAACTAAGTTTTCAAAGATTTGAAATCAAATTGGAGGAAAACAAAAAAGGAAAAGAGCAAAGAAGGGAAGAGAACAGATAAGAGGGAAAAAGGAAAATAATGAAGAAAAGGAAAGTTTGCATATGTGTTTGATGTGTTTAGTTTGTGTGGGATAAAAGAAAAGGACAGAATTACTGGCCTTATGGTGGAGAGACAAGAAGGAACATAGAAGAAGAAACAAAAAACAAGATGAGAAGGAAAGGAAGAGGCGGCTGACAAAAACTGAAGCATTTGGTTTAGCATTTATTAGATTTAGATGCCCCCAAATTTTTTTATAATTTTATTTTGACTCCATATTGTTTTAGTAAAGTATAAAATTAACCTATTACATTTTTAAATTACACTTTTCACCTATAGCTTTTAAATTTTTTAAGTGGAATCCTTTTGGGTTAAATCTAAACTCATCAAATATGTATGTAAAGTTATAAACCACCAATTTCAGGGGAATTTTTATTTATTATATTGATTATATATTATTTATATATATTTATGGCGTCATCTGATTTAACCCTCAGGCTAATCGATCGAACCCATCAACTCTTGACCCCTGACCTCTACCGAGTCACTATCTCATCCAAGTTTTAAAATATAGTAATCAACCCGTGACATCATAAACACTTAACAAATAATATTAATAATTATCAAATATTTCAAATATGCACATACTTGTAGAAATTTATCTCTAATGTTAAAAATAATTGCTTTAATCCTCATACTAATCTTCTCAGTGTAGCTTGTTTTAGAGACCAAAATTACTTTTTCTATATACAAGTATATGTTTACTACATTCCTGGTTTGTTACATTTGAAAGTTTCAAAAATTGTTATGAATTGTAATTTCTAAGATTGGTACTACATTCCTGGCTGCTGCCCCTTTTGTAATTAATCCTTGTTTTATCAAGTGTTAATATTTATAAAGCTATTATCGTTTGTTGAAAAAAAAAAGATAGGTATGAAAGAAAATAAAAGGCAATGACAAAGAAAATTAAAGTACATTAAAGAGTTCAAAAAATTACAATATATACTCCATGTTATACGTGTTGGACAAGATTTAAGATGTAAATATAAGAGAGAGAGAGAGAGAGGATTGGAATTAGATCGCAAACGGGATTGTCCAATTAGTAGAGATAAATATGCATTGGTAATTGATAAAGATTTAAATTGCTATGTCATATAATTAAATTAGTTAACCAATTTTAAAAATGTTTAGGCTTTATTGTAGTTGCTCAATGAACTGGTCGGTTCAGTGAAAACCGTTGTTCTGTGGTATGTCAATATGAAGTGCTTTACGGGATTTTTACAGAGAAATAGGGATACATTTTTCATATAATTAGTTCAGTTCACGTTTATTTCATTTTAAAACCCCAATAATAACAATTTGAAATCTAAGTGGCTATATTGATCAAAATTTTAAACATTAAGAACAAAAAATGAAAATTTAAAATTTTTGACAAAAACCAATTTGATTTTGAGTGTCACTTAATATGATTTTTCATTTGTTTTTCTACAATTTCCTAAAATCAAAAGATTTCAAAGCCCACGTTTGTTTGAGTCAAAAAATTAGGAATCAATTTGACACAGGCACGTTATGGACCAAAATAGTATTTCAACCATTGTAAAACTAATTATGGACAACCGCTTCGCAAAAATTTCTTGTTTTAACAAGACAGTAATATATCTGTTAGTATGTGCCACAAATACATATCCTACTTTTTTTTAAGTAGTTGTACTTTTAAGAGTGCGGCTTAGCTCAAAAGTTGAAATCCATTCTGTTTCTGTTTTTGGTGAGTGAGAGATATTGAACCAAAACCTCTTATTTACAATTCATTCCATTTTATCACGCAATCCAACCCTTTTCCAATCCATCATGCTTAATGCTTCAATGTTATGCACTTATAATTTAAATAACATCGACTTTATAACAAAATCAACTCTATATTCCCAATGATTGTGCAATTTATCCACATGAAAACTCATATACCAGTGTTTCTGCTCCATCATCTTTTTAGTGCAATATTTTTTTTTTATTTTGTTTTTGGTGCAATATTAAATGACCTCAACATGTAAATCAGACTTTGCTAGTCCCCAGAATAAGTACGCTAGAAACCAGAAAGGGCAAAGCAAAGTCTGACTTACATGTTGTGCAATAGTGATTCCCAACTGTATATAATGTTTTAATCACAGGTTCTAATTCATGTTTTAATCATAGGTTGTAATTCATTATCAATTATTTGTTTGATTTTGGAAAATAAATGTGAGACTAATTATTGTTCCTACAGAACTGGAACATCTCAATTTTGTCAAAATTACATGTGATCGGGTCTTAATTTATCAATTTTTTTATTTTTTTTTGGGTTAGTGGCCCAACCCTACAAGAAATTTATCATTAATGACTGTCGTTGCAATGTTTTAAAACTCAACCCAGACCGGACAATCAAGATTGGTTAATCGTTGACAAGTTAGCATTCCTATAGGAAAAGCCCTAAAACCCAGCAGCGATTAAAAACTACCAATTTAGATTAAGTTGGCAAAATAGTCCGGTTCAACGCTTAAACCATTGCAGAACAATGGTTTTCACTGAACCGACAACTTCATTGAGCAACTACAATAAAGCCTAATCACTTTTGAAAATTGGTTAACTAATTTCATTATATGACATAGCAATTTAAATCTTATCAATTACCACTGCATATTTATCTCTACTAATTAGACAATCCCATTTGTGATCTAATTGCAATCCTCTCTCTCTCTCTCTCTATTATATTTACATCTTAAATCTTGTCCAACATGTATAACATGGAGTATATATTGTAATTTTTTAACTCTTTATTTTCTTTCATACCTATCTTATAAATTACAATTCATAATAATTTTTGAAACTTCCAAATGTAACACACCAAAAATGTAGTAAATAATACTTTTATATAGAAAAAGTAATTTTGCTGTCTAAAACAAGCAATATTGAGAAGATTAGTATGAAGATTTAAGCGATTATTTTTGGCATTAGAGCAAAATTTCTACAAGTGTGTGCATATTTGAAATATTTGAAATATTTGATAATTATTAATATTATTTGTTAAGTGTTTATGATGTCACGGGTTGATTATGATTAATTCAAGGATTGAATAATTATTGACCTTCAACACAATAATTTTTACAGGTCAATAAACTGTTTGAATTACAAAGCCTTGAGTTCCTGGCCCTGCCCTTGTCTATGCTGACATGCAGTTACCCTCTAGGTTTAGGTTTACAGCAAATATATTTGATACTACCTCCCTTTCATTCAGCTAAAAATATGCAATTCCCATTCATATTTAATGGCCAAAAACTTGGCCATCGCTTACCATCAAGATACAACTTGTAGGATGGGTTATCTAATAAGTCTATATAAAAATAAGGGATAATTTGACAAACCTCCCTGAGATTTCTGACAATTTTACTGAGTTCTTCTGAAATTTAAAAAATTATACATACCTCCCTTGTTATTTAAAATGACAATACTGCCCTTAAATATTTTAATGAAATTCCCTTGTTTGGTATGGTTATATTTAGAATGACTTTTATAATTATTTTTCATCCTTTTTCCTTCTTATTCCTTTTTATTTTAATTTTTTTGCCAACAAAACTGTATAATTATCACTATTATCTTTAGCTTCTATTGTAACCAAATGTCGAACAATTGATTTTTTTTTTTGATAAGTTAACTTTATACGTAATCTAATGATTTTTGCTAATCTTTATTTTCTATTTATTGGTATCAAAATTAACAATAAATCAAAAAGAAATTGCCCAAAATCACTACTCAAAAAATTCATAAATTTTGAACCAATTATTTCAACGTTTTATTTTCTATCTTATAAATCGAAATCCATAATAAAATATTACCAAAAGTATCGTATCATAGTGATAAAATTATTATTATAGTTGTTTATCAAATACTAGATATGGACTTGAAATATTCGGCACCTTTTTCTTATAATTACAGAAGATAATCTTATAATTCTATAGAAAAGTAAATTAAAACTCATTATACAAGGGTATTTTTGGGTATTCATTTAAAAATTTGACCAAGTCAATATTATTTTAAAATTTTGTTACTAAAACTATCAAATCAAGAAAGGTATGCATAATTTTTCAAATTTCAGGAGAACTCAGTGAAATTGTTAGAAACCTCATGGGAGGTTTTTCTGAAATTATCCCTAGAAATAAATTACTCCAACTTTTGAATGTGGGTTGTATATATGGCCCTAATTGTGGAACGTTTTATTACTTTGCAGTATAAATTACTTGTCGTGGCGCATCTACTGCTGCATGTGCTTGCTAGTTGCTACCAAACTTTCAAAATCATCAGCCAATCAATCTTTTCCCTTCAGCACACGCCTACCTGACTAAAAATCTACCACCCCACAATATACCGACAAACACCAAAAAAATAAAAAATAAATAAAAAAGCTACCGATCCACAATATGCCAACAAACACCAACAAACACAAAAAAAAAAGTCTTCCAACACCAATACTGCCGGTTAAATTAAGTACCATGCAATGAATCAGCTTTCCTCTCTTATATATATATTGTGGTCTCCAGAAAATCTCAAACCAAGCCAAAAATATTCTCCCAAAAATCAACATGTCCACCTTAACCCTCATTTTCATCAGCTCCCTCTTGGCCTTTCTTCTCTACTCTATACTCAAAAAAGCAGGTAATCCCTCAAAGTCACTCCCACCGGGTCCAAAACCATGGCCAATTGTAGGAAACCTCCCACATTTGGGCACAAAACCACACCATTCACTTGCAGCCATGGCCAAGACTTATGGTCCACTTATGCACCTCAGGCTTGGTTTTGTGCATGTGGTGGTGGCAGCCTCGGCCTCTGTTGCTGCACAGTTCTTGAAAACCCACGACGCCAATTTCTCCAGCCGGCCACCAAACTCTGGTGCCAAACATATTGCTTATAACTATCAAGACCTTGTTTTTGCACCTTATGGACCTCGATGGAGGTTGCTAAGGAAAATTTGTTCCATCCACCTTTTCTCTGCCAAGGCTTTGGATGACTTCCACCTCGTCCGACAGGTGAAAATCTAATCGTAAATATTTCTACAAATTAGTACGGACGAACTAACAGAAATAGTTTATTCTTGATGATACATCTGTTTTGTATTAGTGTGTGTGTCTATATATATATAATCTTTTATATTGTTATAACCATATTTGGGCTATAGGTGAGATTATAGGCTGATACAGAATTAATATCATATAAACTGTATAGCTTAAAATGAAAATGTTATTTGATCAAAATCTCTTCTAAAACTCTTCACTTTCTGAATTTTCAGTTCTTGATTATGGACACAATTGATTAGATTCGTATGTATCTTGATTTTCCTTACGATATATTCTAGTGTTTCTTGTCATTTTCATGACGTCTATACAGCTCACCCAAACAAAACCCGTGGAACGACTAGTCAAAAAGTTGGCTTTATGCGTGTGTGATTTAATTATCAATGTACTAGCAATAGTACAGTTAAAAGGAGAGCACTTTTCTAACGTAGGTCCAAGAAGATGGAAATGTCAGTGGAGAGGTTATGTATGTGGTTTCCGGACTTTTTAGAAACTGTGGAGATTAGTCTGTTTTTTTGTGATTGACAGTCTATTATCTTACTAAACCGCTGACCTTGGCTCAGTGTCCACCGTGGAAGATATTAAGTCCTCGAGTGTAGGTAGGAATTCAAATCTCATCTGTTATAAAAAAAAAAATTTCAAGAATTGTGCTAAACACTTCTTTGATCTAGTAAAATCTGTGTATCTGTTAGATAGGTTATACAATAATTGTTTTTTTTCCAGCTCTGGAAAAAAAAATCTATTATCTTATTAATTTTATGTACATGAATATAATAAAAAGAAAGATATCCATAAAAAGAAAAAAAAGTTGAGTCCCATTCTTACTACTCTAAAATTTCCAGCCGTACAACAAACTACAGCAAATTGGGAACAGGGTATGTAAAATGTGCTCGTTTCTTTTGTAAAAATTGGTAATTTGTATCCGGAGAACAAAGGCAAATAGAAAGCCCATTTTTCTTAAGATTAATCTTTTATCCATTAGTCAAGTTTACATTAACGGGTTTAGATATATACTGCATATATAATAAAAAATGTAATAATTTTTGTGCTTTGTGCATCTAACCTACTAATACAAAAACTTTTAAAATAAGGAAAATAATATTAGCACTCCTCAAAAAAATTTCAGGCGCGCCTTTTCTTCTTTTACATTGAATGAAATTCAAGAAGTGCCTGAAATTTTTTGAGGAGTGCTAATATGTTATTTTCCAAAAATATATTTTAGATTTTTTAACGGTGAATTACTTTTACAGGCAGAGGTGGGAACTCTCGCACGCGCTCTGTTAGCTAGTGCAGGGAAGACTCCAGTAAATTTGGGGCAGTTATTGAACGTGTGCACAACGAATGCGCTAGGGCGAGTGATGCTAGGGAGGAGAGTTTTCGGTGATGGAAGCGGCGGCGGAGATCCCAAAGCCGACGAGTTCAAATCAATGGTGGTTGAGCTGATGGTGCTGGCTGGTGTTTTTAACCTGGGTGATTTTATCCCAATTCTTGATCGGCTAGATTTGCAAGGTGTTGCTGGGAAGATGAAGAAACTCCACGCGCGTTTCGACGCGTTCTTGAACACAATCCTTGAAGAGCATAAGATCAACGGCTCTAGTGGAATGGAAAAACACGTGGACTTGTTGAGTACGTTGATCTCGCTTAAAGACAATGTTGATGGCGAGGGAGGCACCCTATCGGATACAGAAATCAAAGCTTTGCTTTTGGTATGCTCTCCTCTTACTACTACTAGCACAACTAATTTCCTATTTTTAATTTTTTTTACAGGTGTCCATATTATACCCAATTTATTAATTAGATGTGAATCTAACATACATTGCCCCTGTCACATTCAAATACATTTTCTACTTAATTTTATACTTTTAACAGTCTCAACCATTGGTCACCGTTACACTATTCCTTAAACAATTTAAACGTATGAGATAAGTTTAAATTGTTTTTGGGTTTTAGCTTGCAGTATCACGTGTTTTTTTTGGGTTTATCTAACGGGTGCCTAATGTTAAAATATATTTCAGTTATTATATTTTTTAAAATGTAAGCTTAATTAGAAAAAATAAATAAACATAAGGAAGGGCAGGTTCAATAGAAAAAATATATAAATATAAGAAAGATAATAATTGTTAGTGTATATACATAGCAGATTCGATGAATTTGAGCATATTAACTAGGGTTTTAAATGAGAGATCTCAGATTTAAACCTTCGTACTTATATTAAAAAAACGTAATTTTAAAAAAACGATGCATCAAGTAATTAGTGTGAGGAGAAATATATCAAGTTTTGGGGAAGTCTTTTGTTTTGAAAAATATTTAAGAGTAGACTATTAATAACTAATTTTATTGGCACTTTACTTTTTCTTTTTAATGACGCTTTATTTGTTTATGCGCTTTTGCAAGCATTGCAAAAGTGATGAAGTATCATTGACAATAATTTGAATGTCATTAATGATGCCCCTCAGATACAAAATGTACACCTCTACTTTTTCCGTACGTGGCTGGACCAAAAGTGTAATTATAGTTTGCACCCTCATTATTTACTTTTCCTTTTTGTTTTTGCTCTTTTTTTAAATTCAAGAGAGATTCTAAACTTAAAAAAGACAAGAAAAAAGGATAGCTAAGAGTTAAATTAGAAATCTCGAAATTACTAATTAATAATTAAATAAAAAAGTTTCTTATGTTTCATTTATTTTGTTGTAGGATTTGTTTACTGCTGGGACAGACACATCATCAAGCACTGTGGAATGGGCCATTGCAGAACTTATTCGCAATCCGAAATTGTTGGCCCAAGCCCAACAAGAGCTTGATGCAGTTATCGGATCAAATCGGCTTGTAACAGACGCTGATCTCCCCAAATTAACCTTTATCCAAGCTATTGTCAAGGAGGCCTTTAGACTTCACCCGTCTACTCCACTGTCTCTGCCAAGAATGGCGACTGAGAATTGCGAAATCAATGGATACTTCATTCCTAAAGGTTCAACACTTTTGGTTAACGTTTGGGCCATAGCTCGGGATCCAGATATATGGGCTGATCCACTAGAGTTTAGACCTGAAAGGTTTTTGCCAGGAGGCGAAAAGCCCAATGTTGATGTTAGGGGAAATGATTTTGAAGTCATACCATTTGGTGCTGGGCGTCGAATTTGTGCTGGAATGAGTTTGGGCGTTCGTATGGTTCAGTTATTGACTGCAACTTTAATCCATGCATTCGATTGGGATTTGCCCAATGGACAAGGTGCAGAGAAACTCAATATGGAGGAAGCTTATGGGCTCACTTTACAACGGGCTTCACCATTAATGGTTCATCCAAAACCCAGACTTGCACCCCATATATACTGAATTTGAATAATCAAAAGGCCAGAAAGCCTGCAAAATAAGATATTGGGCCTTGGGTGGACTTAGGTGTTGTCTTAATTATCCTTAGTAATTTCTTGTTTTATTATTTTAATAAGAACCTTTGAAGTCTATAAAATATGTGATAGGCAATCATCGGCTTTTGTTCCGGTGGCCATGGAAAGATCCCTATAGCCCAATCCTGAACGAGGTCCAAGTTAGAATCCCGTTTACTAGCAGAAAAAATCTTTGATGGTGCAATGTTTCACCCATTTGGTCTAAAGGTGAACTCTCAAACTCTAGTTTCAAATGGTACAACTAGATTTTGATTCACGCATTATATAAGAGTGAGTGAGTATTGCTGTCATTTTGTAAAAATAGAAAAAAAAATAAAAAATGGAAAGAGTCAATTATTAAAGGGCACATGGTTATTCACCTTTGTTAAATAAAGTTGACTTATTTATCATGTCCACATCATGTGCATTGCAAGCTACTAAGACTTGTTGACATTCCTTAGAGAAATCCTCCCAGGAAAAAGGCAATGTTTTAAAAATTGGACCGTTAATTGAACCGGTGAAGTGAAAGGGTCGAGATTCAACCGGTTGGACCGGTTCAACCTTGGTTCAATGAATTTTAAAAAAAAATAATTTATATAAATAAATAAATATATATATATATATGCACAAAATAAGACATGTAATGGACTAATTTAATACTTTATATGATGAAAAGTTTACTATTTTTGAATAACTTGGATTTTTAAAAATAAATTATTTATTTTTGAATTATAAGTTAAAACAAATAAATTTCATCTCAATTTCAATTGTATCTGCCATAAAATCTTAAATCCAACCAAAAAATATCACAATATTTTGGAATTATACAAAATTCACGTCTATGAGAATTTAGACATTGTAAACTTAAATTTTAATTTACGTTTTGGGATTTAGAGATTGCAATTTAAAAAAAAAAGTTTGAAATTCGAAAGAAGTCAAGAGAATCGAAAATAGAAATGCAAACTTGATAAGAAGCAAAAAATGAGATAAAAGTAAGTGGTTGTGGCATTGAATAATTTGGGTTAAAAAAATAATTCTTTTTTAACTTTTTTAATTTAATGCAATGTTTTGAAAATCGGACCGGACCGGCCAGTTCGACCGGTTGAATCGCGAACCGGCCATGGCACCGGTCTGGTTCAATGCCATAGTTGACTTTGTCAGAAAACCGGTCAAGAACCGGTTGAACCGTAAAAACCGCGATTGAACCGGTTTTCAACTTTCCTCTTTTTTTTTTTTTTTTTTTTTTTTTTCAAAATGCAGCTATCAAGATTCGAATTCAAGACCTTTGTAATAGAAGATCAATGTATTAACCGTTGCACCATCACATCGTATTAGTTTTTTTTGATAACTTATTTATATAAAGCAAACACTTATATTTCTTTTTTCCATTTTTCTTACAAAATCTCATCCTCTCATGGCTCTTTCTTTTTAATTTTCAACTCTCTCTCTCTCTCTCTTTTTTGTCACTCTCTTTTTAATCAAACCTCTTTATTTTTAATTTATTGATGTTTTCTTCTATCTTTTAATTTGGTTTTTGTCCATTAAATTGAAAAAAGTTAAAGAAGAATTATTTTTTAACCCAAATTATTTAATGCTACAACCACTCACTTTTATCTCATTTTTTGTTTCTTATCAAGTTTACATTTCTATTTTCGATTTTCTTGACTTCCTTCGAACTCCAAACTTTCTTTTTTTTTAAATTGCAATCTCTAAAACGTAAATTAAAATTTAAGTTCACAATATCTAAATTCTCATAGACGTGAATTTTGTATAATTTCAAAATATTGTGATATTTTTGGATTGGAGTTAGACATAATTGAAATCGAGATGAAATTTATTTGTTTTAACTTATAATTTAAAAAATTTATTTTTAAAAATCCAAGTTATTAAAAAATAGTAAACCTTTCATCATATAAAGTATTAAATTAATCCATTACATGTCTTATTTTGTACATATATATATTTATATAAATAATTTTTTAAAAAATTCATTGAACCGAGGTTGAACCGGTCCGATCGGTTGAAACTCGACCATTTCACTTCACCGGTTCAATTAACGGTCCGGTTTTTAAAACATTGATTTAATGGACAAAAATAAAATTAAAAGATGTAAGAAAATATCAATAAATTAAAAATAAAGATGTTTGATTAAAAAGGAAGTGACAAAAGAAAAGAGGATAGAGAGAAAGAGAGAGAGAGAGAGAGTTGAAGATTAAAAAAACATAACCATGAGAGGATGAGATTTTGTAAGAAAAATGGAAAAAAGAAATATGAGTGTTTGTTTTATATAAATAAGTTATAAAAAAAATAATAAGATGTGATAGTGCAATGGTTACTATATTGGTCTTCTATTACAAAGGTCATGAGTTTGAATCTTGAAAGCTGTATTTTGCAAAAAAAAAAAAAAAAAAAGAGAGGAAAACTCGAAAACCGGAAAAAATCGGTTCAATCCGGTTTCGACGGTTTCATGGTTGGACCGGTTTTTGACCGTTTTCTAGCAAGGTCAACACTAACATAGAATCGGATCGGTGCCATGGCCGGTTCGCGGTTCAACCAGTCGATCCCGCCGGTCCGGTCCGATTTTCAAAACATTGGAAAAAGGAAGAAAGAAAAGCTATAGAGAGTAAGATGGTCAACTAGATTAATCCACCAGCACTAGCTTTTTTTTTTTTGGTTAGATAGGAGGGCTTTAGACCCATTACAAGGTAACTAATCTAGGCCACTGTGAGAACCCTGAAAATGGATATATAAGCTAGTGCATATTTCATTTGCATTTCTTTTATTCCTTAATAATTTCTAGCATTACTTTTACTTGTTTGCAATTAAGTACGTAAAATTAGGTTTATGTGAAAAATAATATAATTTTCCTAAGTTATGAAATTTCTTGGTTTTATTAGACTAAATTAATATCCTTAGGGTTAGATTAATTTTTCGCCTTAACATAAAATGTTAGAATACTTAAATTCCCTTATGCTAAATTAAGGATACTTGAGTCGATAGCCTTACTATCTTAAAATAAATTATTTAAATTCCAATGATTAATTTCAATTAGTTGCTAATGTTAAATGTTAATAAGAATTTCCGCGTTAAGATGAAAAACCAATGAATTTTTGATAAACATGATACTAATATACTAAACATACTTAAGGAGTGAAAATTTCGATAAATATATCCTTATCTTCTTTGTTTTCACAATAAGTGCGTAAAAATAATTTTTATGTGCAAATTGACACCCTTGGATTTAATTATTATTTCACTTGACTTTATAGTACTAAATCGATAAATTTTGAGTTAGACTAACTCCACTTCTTGAGAAATAATAATTGGAAATTCTAATAACTAATTTAATCGCTAAATAATATAAGAATTACTAGGAACCTTAATATTAAAGTTTAATCGAGAATTATTCGATAAAAATGGTTTAGGTATATTAGGGTATAATTAGGCGTTCAAATCACACTTGGGGATAATTTTTAGAATTAAGTTGGATTTGAGAAATTAAGTTGAGGGTAGGGAGCAAAGTGAAAAGACTAAAATGCCCTTACAATTCCATGCAAACCAAACCAATCCTCTGACCGCAAATTCAATTACCGCAACTATCACCAATTCTATACGCAATCGATTCTAATACACGAAACCTCTGCTCCTAAAACCGCGGCACCTTATACCATTACCTCCATTTCACATCTTAAACCACGGCACCACAATACTTCTTAATATCACTCAATCCTTTCTCATATCACTTACCGCAAACCATATACCTCTCTTTCCATTTCATATCTCAAACCGCCATTCCATTTCTCTGCACAAATTCCCCTCAGACCACAACACACTCCATAACTCCATCCAGTTTTCGGACTGAGAGCAAAAGAGAGGGAGAGACTCACCTCGTGTGTATCGAAGAGGAGGAAACCGCGGCTGCCAAATTCTCTAGTTCTGTCCGTGAGCTGGAGTGAAACCAGGGAGAAAACCGTGAGTGAGCTTCATCATTCTGCACCTCCATCTCGGTCAGCTGCAACCAGTTTCCAGCCGCAACTACCACAACCAAAACTTGTGCGAGCCGAGAGCCGAGAGGGTGAACAGGAAAATTTTCAGATTTCTGGTGAGTGAGCTACAGTCTGAGGTAACCTCTGAGCTAGATTAAACTAATTAGAGGTTGATTGAGTTTATTAGGAGCATGCATGTAAAGCTAACCGATTGGATGATGAACTGGGAAAAAAAAAAGAAAAAAAAAACTGCTGTGCGAAGGGACAAATTCTGGCCGTGAGCTGGAATCAGAAATGCATCTCCAATATTTTTTCACCCTTAGCAATCCGAGCACCAAGGGCAATTAGCCGTGTGAAAACTTGATGTTTAAGACCATGCATGTTGATTTGTGCATTCGGATGATAATGTTAAAGCATAAGAGGAAAATTCTGTTTGAGAAGAAAATGCTTTAGCCGAGAAACTGGTTTGGAAAGGCAGCTTTAATGTTGTTTCCCTGAAGTAATTTGAGCATGCAATGGTGATTAACTAATTAAATCTTGGATGATTAATACGATTAGGGCCTTGCATGATAATTTTATGTAGTTGGATGATGTATTAAGGAGCTTAGGAAAATTCTGTGTTGATGAAAAGTTTCTGCCGAGAGTTTGCCTTGAATAATGTAGCTACATTTGGTTTAAACTTGTTGCTTTGAGCCTATAACCTTAACTAACTAGCTAATAACAAGATAATTGAGCTTTGCATGTGGCTAATTAGCTGGGTTAGAACCGAAATAAAATCACAATGCAATCAGTCTTCATGCCACAACAACCGAGGTTTGAAGCAGGAAATTTCTGGAAATTTTGGAGGAATTTTGTCGTTAATCGAATTTAATTCCTGAGTTAGATATGTTAATTAATTAGTTAAGTGATGGCATATTGAATTTAAGAACTTAAAACACTGTTTTAGCTGAGGAAAAATTTGATCCAAGATAAACGAGCTGCTGGAAAATTTAACTAGTTGAGGACGGATTTATTGTGGTTTCTTGGCTGGATCGTTTACCGGAATTAAGATTTATTTGCCTTGGTATATGCTAGTATGAATGTCATACGTAAATGTATGGATGGTTTGAATAAAGGTCTTATGGTTTTAAAAGAGAAAAAGGAGTCTTTCACAAGTGAAAAACTAGTTTTCAGATTTTCGGATTTCACTGACTGGTCTCAATAAAATGTTTATATCTTGGTGTAGGAAAATTCGTTTAAGGCGCCGTCAGTGGCATTTGAAACTAGAATCATAGGCATTTGTCCTGTAG